GGGAAGGTGAGCACTTGATCGGTGATTAAACACACAAAATGTGGTACTTGAACTTCACTATCATTCACACACTCATTCACACTTTACATAACGATTCACGATCTGTATTTCACGATTAGATCCCCTTCATTACGCTGGGATAACACCATTCCAGGCAGGTGGTGATCCAGCTCGCGATGATGAGCGGCGGGGTTTGCTTCCACGCTTCAAATCTTAACGAAGTCAAAGGCCCTAGCTCCTTGACGTTTCCCATCACCCTGTAGATGCTTGCAGATTGTCGAGTGCTACGACCTACACACTATTGTGCACTGTAGCAGTTCTACAACGGTGAAGAAAGACATTCCTGAATTCAGGATTTTGCGGCTCACTTCATGGTTCTCATTTCAGAAGCATCTACCATCGACGACACACTGACGTCGCTCTCGAGCAGTTGTCTCTATAGTCCACCGGAGTTCGTATCGCGCTTACAACCAACGTACGAAGTCAGGCAGAACACTCGAGTTCTCCTGAAGGTGGTGGTGACGGGTGTGCCGCTGCCGCAAGTCGTATGGTATCACAACGGCAACGTCCTCAACCCAATAAAGTAAGCCAATTTCTTGCGCTGGGCTTCCGAGAAAATTTTTGTAATTGGTCAGAGGTAGATCAGTGGTTACATGAATTCTTCTCGTATCAATCAAAGAAAATAGGTAGCTTCATAAAAAAAGAAAAGTCTGAGGCAGTGTTCATAGTTCGCGATCGTATATGCGATTGGGCGAATACGCGATTGAACGATTAGATGAGGAAAAGTGTACGATTAGGCGAGTAGGCAAACAGGTGATCGCACGGTGGGCGGAGCAAGCCAATCGATAGTCTTACTGTTACTGTGTAGTGTTACTCGCCTAGTCGCCTATTCAATACTTATTCTTTTCCTTACAACTAATCGTTCAATCGTCTAGTCGCATATACGATCGCGAAGTATGAACGCTGCCTCAGACTTTTCTCCTTTTTCGTGCTGTCACGCTGCGGAACCGCCCGCGTTTGTTCAGCTTTCACTCACTTAACATGAACATTTTCATGAAGCATAGCAGAAGCTTGCACATACTTGGCGTGGCGCGGCGTTATATGAACTCTATTCAAGAATGAATTTATACGTCACACCACGCCAAGTATGTACAAGCTTTGCTACGCTTGATGAAAATGTCCTGACTAGGTTGGTGAATGCTGAACAGACGCGGGCGGTTGCGCAGCGTGACTGCGAGAACAGAGAAGCATTCGATTTCTCAATGACTTATAAACTCTTGTCAAGCAAAAGCTTCGCTATGCCGGAGAAGTGGATGGAGACCAGGAATAAACAATAACATAAATAACTTTCACAGGATGAAGACCTAAAAACCATTTTACAGAAACACTCTGAACATGGTCTACGAGGACGGTGTGAGCTTCCTGGAGATCTGCAATTGTACCGAAAAATGGAGTGGCGTGTTCACATGCGAGGCGAAGAATTCAGCAGGCGTCAGTAAAATCGAATCCACGGTGGTTGTTTTACCTGAAGGTGAGTAGTAGTTTACATGCCGAAAATTTCGGAGAATAAAGTAAGACTTTCGGCCTCCTCAGAAGTTGAACAGAATTCAGCGTTCCATTCACTCACTGGATTCGCTTCGCTATTTCAGAATTAGATGAAAATACTCGTACAACGGAGATTCATCTGACAAATATTCCATTCCAAGCAGATGTCGAGCTCGTCGTGAAGGATAGCACACACCGTGACTTCCAGGCCGTCACGTTCACTTCAGGGGTGAGTCTTCGTAAAGCATGTGCTTTTTGAAAAGAGGTAAAGGATTCAACGAGAGCAGGATTCTCCCGGATGCTTTTTTTGTTTTTGAGTTCCGCACATTGAGAAATACCATTTCAAAGCCGTTGGATACATGTTACCTTTTTTATCTTCAGGTGAGATTCATCGATTTTCCGGAACGTTCTATCGCCTTCTCCCGGACCCGATGAAGTCGGACTACAAAGCAGCGCATTCATGCTCTTGCAGGAACAGGCCCTAGTTTTTATACGTAACAATGCCTCCGGGCAAGTTTTTCAAAGGTTCGTGGATCTTATTTAAAGGCATGTCACCGGATCTAACTGGTGTGGTGCTTCGACCAGTTAGATCCTGGAAGTATTGGTGTAAAGTTTGTGCAGCAGTGTAGGAAAAATGAAAAGATTTGTTGAAAACGCTTAAAGTTTGTTCACCCCGTAGTGCGACTGTTTGAGCAGCGAGAGGCTGAGGAGGAAAGGAGAACAGGAAACGAGAGAACGCAACAGATGAGAGAGCGCCAGACAGCAGCCTGCTGCAGACGTGGAACATTGCAACTGATTTGGCACAGGCCCTAGCGGCCTTTTCAGATGATTTTCGGCACGTAAGGTGCCACATCTGTGGACGTCCTCTAGAAGTTGGGCCTGCAGATCAAAGGGAATCGTTCACACACCTCCTGCCTGGATTGTGCCTTTAGCCCTAGATCTTTTGGTACTAAATCTAAGCGCTTCGACTTTCATCAGTGGACTACACTTCGGTTTTGTTCTTTTTGTTTATTTCTGTCGCTTGCTAAAATAATAATAAATAGATATGGATTAGGAAGCACGGTTGGAAGGTCGATGGGTGGGATGAGGAGGCGTCACTGCGCCATGAAAGCGGTATCACAAGAATCAGCGCGCACTCGGCATCCGCTGTGAAAGACACCGTACCTTTCCAAGCTCGCGTTCGCCCGAATTTGAGTCGAGGGTAGAAATTTGATGTTTAAGTGTTTCTGAATTCCCTCCCACTTTTTGTTTTAATGTTCATGTCGCGTTTGCCACATAATTCATGTTAGCCTTATTTGCTCGCGTACGTGAGTTCTCAAAACCCGGAACAAAAATGTAAAATAACTAATGTCAATCTGATAATTCACTGACCCAACCTACTACCTTTAGTAAACTAACCTAAGAAACTTTAGCATAATACCGCTGGTAATCATTCAAGTAGACCATCCGAGGGATACTGTGAGTTTAGGAGGGAGGGGTGAGGGGAGGGGAAGAAAACGAGATGGGCACCTTCAACAATATGCCATTTAGTTGAGTAGAAATTGTGTTCTGATGCAAGTTCTGAGATCTTTTCAGGTCAACGAGAACATACAGTTGAAGTGCACCTTCAGTGGACAACCGCTGCCAGCTGTTAACATGGGAGAAGGATGGCAATCTCGTGGATATGAACAAGTACGGAGATCATTCCTCATTTTTTAACGAGATAGAGGAACTGGGGTCTTATGCGCAAGAGGGGGGAAATGGTGCCACAGTCGCTGCCGATTACAGAAATTCCAATTTTCGCAAGGGAGGTGATACCAGTCGCTTTGGCTTCCTAACCCATGTCGAAGCTTTCTTCCCTCGCGAAAAATTGGATTACTTTGGGCGATGTGAATTTTTGCACCATGTGCCTCCCCCCTACTGGATGAGACGTGGAGACTGTATTTCATTATGAAAAAAAATCAAGCTGAGATTTGTTCTTTACATCACTCCAAAGACTTATTTGTATGAAAAACCTAGAAGATATTGAATTTTCCTCCCTATTATTATGTATGTATTTTATCAGGAACTATAACATCATCACTGAAGACGGGGTTACAATTCTCCGATTGGAATGCACAACGCTTGAAGATAACGCCATATTTTCGTGTACTGTTGCGAACAGCTTCGGAATGCAGACAGCCACTTGCAAGGTCATCGTCGAAGGTTAGCAAAGGACTTCAGTGTCTGTTTCACTTTGCACTATAAACCGTAGCAAAACGTCTTCTATAGTGGCTAGGACTGGGCC